ATTATTGTAAGTAATTTGTGTGTGTGTGTGTGTTTTACCCGCCTCTGCTGGCATGCGGGCTGGCACTTTTTTTTAATGTCGGACATAGTGGCAGGGCTTTTGGACATAGTGGCAGGGCGGCTTTTGCCTCTAGCGCCGGGGCGGCAGTCCTGCCTCTATGGCGGACACAGCACCGGGGTGTCCGAACGCTCTGCCGCTATGTCCGACATAGGGCAGCTTTTGCCCGCTTGCCTCACCAGCCATAAACCTCACCGGATGTCACTGACTTCCTTGTGGAAGGCTTAGCACTAGTAAAATTGTTCATCTTGGGCAATGAGATTTTCATGGATAGTGAAACAGATGATAACCTTTGAGATTAATAAGAGCCTTGGAACTAGCAAAGGCAAGTCTATTAGTTGTCCCTATCATCCTTGCTTGTTGAGCTGGGACCTTGTGGGAGCACGCTTTGGAGGGATACGTTGAAGCCTCCTTCCCCAACTGAAAGCCTCCAGATACCAACAGGAAAAGGTGATTCTTGAGAATGAGTAAATGAATGAATTACAGAATAGCAAGAGTTGGACCTTGGAGTTCTATCTAGTCCAACCTCCTGCTCAAGCGGGAAACCCTGTACCACTTCAGAAAAATGGTTGTCCAATCTCTTCTTAAAAACTTCTGGTTTTGGAGTACCCACAACTTCTGGAGTCAAGTTGTCCATTGATTAATTGTCCTAACTGTCAGGACATTTCTCCTTAGTTCTAGGTTGGAATGAAAATGCTATGTCTCCAAACAGCATGGCTAGATGGGAGTGAATGGTTTAGTGCTTTGGGGTCGGCAAATAATCAGTTTTTGGTAGTGATGTCAACCCTGGTGCCCATGCAACTTATACATGCCTGTCTCTTAAGCAAACTCCTGTGGCTCATCTCTCTTCCAGGGTGCCATGGCAGCCACGTACTCTGCACTGAACAACTCAAAGCCAAGTCCCCAACTGAAGCCTATCGAAGCCTCTTTCTTGGCACAGAGACGGGTTAAGAAGCTTCCATCTACCACTCTGTGATATGGGAATACAGGGTAATTCTCCACCATCCCACCAAGTTGTGACTCTGCACAAACTCCCCTGGTATTTCCAGGGGCACAGGAGAGCGTCTCTCCACCAAGAAGTCCATCAGGGCCAAGTGCCTTCAGAAAGATTAGCTCTTGTTCTCCTTATGGATGTCTTTTTTGTTGTTGTTGTGATGTGTTGTTCTTAAATGAACAGAGAATCTATTTCAAAAGGGAATTATGTAGATGTAGGTAAGAAGATGAACATGCAATAATCTTCCCGCAAAACACCTCTACCTGCAAATGGTCATGCCTTAGACAAGTTGATAACTCAGCAACTCAAACCTGATAACAGCTGAAAGTATGCTTTCACAGCTTCTCTCATCAAGACCACTCCAGTGGAGATGTTTTTTTTTTTTAACGACACACTTTTTACATGATTTGTGAGTTCTCGTGTGCACAAGCTGAATTTCCTGCTCCTTATCATCCAAGCCAGGTGGCTGTTACTCAAGATAGTTTTCAACAACTCTTGACTCATCCCTTCCCTCTTTCCCTTTTCAACATCATGTGATTGAAGACAACTCCATCCGACTGGTTGGAATTACATACTTTTTCTAGATCCTCAAATCCTGTGGACTCTTGAAATCTATGCCAGATTGTATCTAGCTTTTAAATGTGTAATGAGCCTGCAATGGTGAAGATGTCCAGATTTTCTAGATGAAGAAAGGGGAGAGGATTTCTGTTTGTTTGTTTGTTTTAATCTCTGCCAAACAGCACAATCCAGCACCTCCATGATGCAAAGTGCAACCCACCCCCCCAAAGTCTTTGTTGCTCTTTTTCTTTTTAATTTAACTGATTGTGTAACTGGTAACTCAGGGTTTCTGTCTGAATTTTGAAATAAATCATATCATATGCAGCTTGAAGTTACTTTACTGACTAACCTTGCATTTCTCTGTCTGGATGGATCTTTGTGCTATTGTGATCTCCATATTAATATACTATTGTATGTACATAGTCATATTATTATGGTTTACATTTACAGTCCCAGTGTATCATGTGTCAATTGTAAATCACACTGCTTAATGACAATTCAATAGAAAATGAACCATGTCACAAAAGATTTTTTCCCAACATGGCCCAAACGAGAAAAGATAAATATGCTTTGTTTAATTGTTGGCTGCCTAATTTGCTTACAAATGGGACAGAATCTGTTATCTCATATCTATCTTTCTATCTTTCTATCT